CCATAATCACAATAGATGTAGAAAAAGCCTATGGCAAAAATCCAATATCCTTTTATGATAAAAAACCCTGAAGAAAGTAGTGGTAGAAGAGTCTCTCAATCTTTTTTTTTTTTTTTTTGGGTACTGGGGCTTGAACTTGGGACCTTGCTCTTTTGAGGCAGGAGGTGGAACCATTGAGCTGAGCTAAATCCCTGGACCAGGATCTTTCAATCTTATAAATGTAATTTATGACAAACCAATGGCCAACATCATAATAAATGGAGAAAAACTGAAAGCTTTGCTCTAAAATCAGGAACGAGACAAGGATGTCCACTGTCACCACTCCTGTAGTCAAAACATTAGCCAGAGCAATCAGGCAAGAGAAAGAAAAGGAATATATATATAGGAAAGGAACACGTGTTGCAGACAACATGATTCTCTGCCTAGAAGATCCAAAAAATTCCACCAAAAGACTCCTAAAATTACAGTAATAACTAAAGTCAGCTTGTAGGAAGATACAAAATCAACGCACTAAAATCAATAGCGTTCTTATATACCAATAATGATCTCACTGAGAAAGTAATTAGGAAAACAAACCATTCACAGTAGTATCAAAAAAATTAAATAGTTAGGAATTTAACCAAGGAAGTAAGAGACCTCCACAATGAAAACTAGTACAGTACTCTGAAGAAGGAGATCAAAGAGGACATCAGAAAATGGAAAGATGTTCCCTGTTCCTGGATAGGCAGAACCAGTATAGTCAAGATGGCCATACTCCCGAAACTAATAAACAGATTTAATTCAATCTCAACCAGAATACCAACAGCATTCCTCACAGATCTAGAGAAAACCACCCTAAAATTCACACGGCAGGAGAAGAGACCCAGAATAACAAAAGCAAAGCAGGATGCATCACAATTCCAGATTTCAGGTTGCAGAGGTGCAGTGATAAAAGCAGCATGGTACTGGCACAAAAATAGGTATGTGGATCAGTGGGACAGAACAGAGGCAGAGACACATTCAGCTATTTGATCTTTGACATAGAGGCCAAAAAAATGCACAAAGGGAAAGATAGTCTCTAACAAATGGTGCTTGGAAAACTGGCTGTCCACATGCAGAAGATTGAATCTAGACCCATATCTCTCCCTATGCACTGTACCAAATTAAAAATGGATAAAGATGTAAATATTAAAACAAATAATCTACTGGAAGATAAACTAATTAAAACAGTTAAAGACGCAGGCATGGGCAAGGACTTTTTGAACAAAAACCCGAGAATGAACAAATGGGATTATATCAAATTGAAAAGCTTTTGCACAGCAAAGGAAACAGTCAGTAGAGTGAAGAGTCAGCCTACAGAATGGGAAATAAGTTTTTGCCAGCTGTTCCTCAGACAGAGGGCTAATATCTATAGAATATAAAGAACTACAAAATTTACCTCCCCCACATAAAAGACCCAATCCAAAAATGGGCAGCTGAAATGAGTAGACACTTGTCAGAAGTACAATGGCCAATAAATACATGAAAAAATGCTCAACATCTCTGGCCAATACAGAAAAGAAAATTAAAGCAACATTGGCAAAAAACCAAAACAAACAAGCAATATTGAGATTCCAGGTTGCCGCAAGAAGAATGGCTGTCAGAAAACAGTGACATGTGGGAGAGGCGGAGAGGACAAAGGGGCCCTTCTGTTTGTTGGCGAGAACGTACGCAGGTGTAACCACTGGAAATCAGCATGGAGAGTCCTCAAAAACCAAAACTAGAAAATCTATTTGACCCAACTGTTTCTTCTTCCTGAAAGAGTTAAAAATGTCATATTAGGGCTGGGGAATTAGCTCAGTGGTGCTGCTGCCTGCCCTGTAAGTGCAAGGACCCAAGTTCGATCCCCGGTACTAAAAAAAAAAGAGTCATATTACAGTGATACATGCATTCCCATTTTTATACCAGCACAATTCATGATAGCTAAACCTTGGAAGTGGCCTGTATGTCCATCAGCAGATGAATGGATAAAGTATGGTGTTCATTTATGCACACTGGAGCACTATTCTGCCATAAAGATAAACTTGAGTTCTTTGTAGGAAAATGGATAAATCTTGATACCATAATGTTAATGTGAAATAAATCAGACACACAAGCTTAAATAACACAATGTTTCTCTTATATGAGAAACCCAAAATGTAAATAGAGAGCAAAATAAAAGATAGATAATAGAAAGTAGAGGAATAAAATTTTTTCCAACGGGAAGGGGAGCAAAAACTGGGCGGGATGGCATGGAGGGAAGGGATGAGAAAAATTGAGATGTGTTATGTGTGTGTACCAACCACATGAGGAGTGTAATATTTAATGCAAACATGCACTAACACTTTTGTTTTCAGTTTTCATCATTTTAACTACTTAAGAAAATGTATTTTAGTAGCATTATATACATTCATGTTGTATTTATCACCAGTGTCTATGTGTAGAAATTTTTTAATGTTCCCAAACTAATTCTACTAACAATGCCTCTCCGGCTAATGAATTAACTTACTTCTGTTTAGGCTTTTTGCTTCAATTTATAGTGGCATCTTTAGACTGTAGTTCCTGATACATTTGCTCATTGTTAGCTTTTCCATAAGTGAATGTAATTGGTCTTTTTTGTCTTGATGTAGCCTAGCTCCTTGTTTTTGGGTTTTTTTTTGTTTTGGTACAGGGGATTGAACTTGGGACCTTGCTTTTGGGAGGCAGACGCCGGAACCACTGAGCTAAATCCCCGGCCCTGTTTTGTTTTTTGAGATAGGATCTCCCTGTGTAGTTCAGGCTGGCCTTAAATGCGCTATGTACCTCAGGTTGGCCTCAAATTTGTGGCAATCTTCCTGCCTCAGGAGGAATTACAGGCATGTGCCACTATGCCAGGCTTGATGTGTATAGTAGATGATGATTTTTGAACTCCTATATGAATATATTGGGGTGTTTTGCTTTATCCTAACTTTTATTGTTTTCATCAAAATTATATTCTTTTTACCTTTGTTGCTACTTTTTAACAACTCTAATTGTGGGTTGTTTTTTTGTGGTACTGGGGATCCAACTCAGGACCTTGCGCTTGTGAGGGAGGTGCGGTGCCACTGAGCTAAATCCTCGGCCTGGGTTGATTCTTAAAGTACATAATTAAGTTATTGAGGTTATTGCAATAAAACAGTATTGTGCTGGCTTTCAAACTTTCGGGCAGAAAATTGGAACAAGGTTAGGAGGGACCTATATATACAGTCTTATTTCTAGTAGTCTTATTTCTGCAATGTAGTAATAAGTCATTTCATAAGATCTCTGCAGCATTTAGAGGGTCTTGCCTTTTTAATATAGCCATTCTTCTATGTTTTTAATTTCATGTCAAGTGGTAGAGCAGTAAGCCTGATTAGAACAGTTGTCTGTCATCACCCCCCCCCCCCCCCGTTTATTTATTTAGTTTTTGAAGATGATGTCTTGCCTAGGCTAGCCTCAGACTTCTGGGCTCAAACCATTCTACTGCCTCAGCCTCCAAATAACTTACTAAAGACATAACACCACTTAACACCACTTAGCCTAGCATAGGTTTTTTTTTTAAGATAAAAATATTTCATAGATTTATAGTTTACATGTGTTTCTCATGTGCTCTTTTTTTTTAAATTTCATCTTAGTTTACTCAGATGTGCCTTACACTTTTTTTTTTTTGGGTGCCTTACGCTTTTGAGGGAAAGTTTCATGTAAATTTAACAAACTTTCATATAAATTGAACCTGTTCTTTGACGATTGAAAGGATTGTTGCCTTGATTTCTGAATTACTTTTGAACATGAGACTATTTTTTGCTAAGTACAAAACTAGGAACTTCCAGAATTAGGATGCTTGCTTTTTAGGTTTTCAAAGTTCGTGAGATATTTTAAAGCTAGTGTTCTTAATATTATAGCTAAAAGAAACCTTATATCTCGTGCCATCTTCTCAGAGATAACAATAAAAGATGCCTCACCCAACTCTCAACTGGCGGAGAGGCCAAAAGACTGAAAGTAGTATTTTGTCCCTTACAGCAGAGTATGACCGCTCTGACCACTGTATTACTGTGCTGTGTGAATGACCTCTCTTCTGCATCCTGTTCTCCTCTCTCTGTGTGCATTGTTCATTTGTGTTTGGCCTGTGTGATTCCTTAAATGTTCTTGCAGCTGTGTACTCTTGGTATCTGTAGTGTGCCACATTTACCTGTACCCTGAATGTGTTGACTCTCAAGAGGAAGCATTTCTTTTTTTTTGGTACTGGGGCTTGAATTTGGGACCTTGTGCTTGCGAGGCAGGCAGTGGCAGCACTGAGCTAAATCCCCAGCCCAGGAAGCATTTCTTACTTGATGAACGGAATATACCCTCCTGTCTCTCCAAACTGAAACAATGCTGAAAGAAATTTTATTTTAGTTTCAAAATTTATCAGGATTTCTTTGCATTAAAATAAATAGCATTAAAACCACAATGTTTTTTTCTTCAGAAATCACTGATTTGTTTTAGGGTTCTTTGGCTGTTTCTTTGTAGGATTATTCATTTAACCCTTTTTTTTCCCCCAGTAAAGACTACTTAATTGAACCATGTAGAGAGATGTAAGCTCTAAGAATGCAGAGAAGCAAAAAACTGTTACATAAGCCAATCAACAGGAAATAGGAATAGTTTTGCCAGCTCATCTTTTAAACTGTAATAAGTGGAATCATTTTTTTCCTAATATGAGAATGGAGAAGTATGTGTGGTCTTTGGATCTTCTTCCCATAATTGTTGGGAACGATTTCTTTGATGTTTTAAATAACCCTGAAAATAGAAGGAAGGCGGAGCCTGGGGCTTTTTCTTTCTTTTTTCTTTTTTTAAGAAGAAATATGGTTTGGAAGAAGCATTGCTATAATCAAATCACTTTTATCCTTTTTGGTTACCCCCCCCCCCCTTAAGTTGTATAGAAAATATTTGGGTAGGAAACTGGTCATTCACTTATCTGTTACTTCCTAATAACAAAAAACATACCTGTTTGGGTTTTTTTTCTTTAGTGGCTGACAGAACAAATGCGATGTGGTCTGAGGAACGATATGACTATGAAAGGCTTCCAAGAGAACGAGTGCCTCCTCGGAATGACCCCAGTGTAAGTTCCTCCTACACACAGAATCACGGAGAACCTAGTGTGTAAGTTAACCTGATAGAGCAAAGCTTGGCCTAGGAATATCTTCAAGTGGCAGAAATTAACTAATACTTCAAGTTGAAAAATAGGCCAAGCTTATCTCTTAAAAGTTAGAAAATAAAGGACATTTTATTTATGTAGAAAATCTATATTTTATGTTGTTTAAACTTCTAGAACAAAGAGTTTATATTGCTGGGTGTGGTGGCGCTCACCTGTATATCCCAGCACTTGGGAGACTGAGGCAGGAGGATCACTGCAAGTTCAAGGCCAGCCTGGGCTACATAGTGAGTTCAAGACCAGCCTGAACTGCCTTGTCTCTAAATAAACAAAACAAAACAAAACAAAACAAACAAAAAGTTTATATTGAATTTAATTTGTGAAGATTTAGCATACAAAGGTCAGACCATCCATTAGTAAGTATTTGAGCATCTACTCTTGTTATTGGCTATCACGTATTTGTCTCTGTTCTTAAAAATGTTTATGGATTGAATATATGAAATTGTAAGAGTAGACTTTCATTTTAGAGGAAGCTGACTGTCTTCCTGGAGCAGAAACATGTTACTGTCCTTAGTTAGGGCTCCTGTGGGGTGCTTCCCTTGGTCAGGCGGCCAGGCCAGTGAGTAAGAATGCCTTTAGGCTCAGGCAGGGAGTTTGCTGTCTGTCCTCCTGCTTGTCTCTGGCTCCAGGAGTTGGGAATTTTGAGCTAGGCCTTTATCCTAGGAGTTTGCTGTTCTGCTTACTGTTCCCAGTACTCTATTTAGTACTCAACAGGAGCTCAGTATTTATTTATTTCTTTCTTTCTTTTTTTCTTTTTTCTTTCTTTTTTTTTTTTTTAATTCTTTTATTGGTACATTGTAGGTATACAACACAATTACATTTCTCATTGGGAATTGTACCTTTACATAATGCATCTTGGTTCTTATTTTTTCCCCATGCTTAGCCCTCCCTTCACGCCCTCCACCCTTCCCTATTTACAAAGACTTTATTTCCATTTCTCATCATTTTTCCTTTCCCTTCTTTCCTTTCCCCTGCCCCTCCCACTACCCCTGCCCCTTTGGACCTTTTCTTCCTATTTTACATTATCGATTATTCATTCTAATCATTGGTACATTTTAGGTATACAATATAATGACATTCATCATTGGAAATTTGCACCTTTACATAGTCTCTCTTGGTTCTTATTTTTCACCCTTGCCCAGCCCTCCCTTCAACCCCTCCAGTCCTCCCTATTTACAAAGATTTTGTTCCTATTTTTCCATTTGCTCATATTGATCCCACTCCCTTCCATCCTTTCCCCGAGCCCTCCTACTTCCTTCCCCTTTGCCCCTTTTCTTCCTATTTCACATTACCTATTATACATTTAGTCCTTATTTACACTTTCAGTTTCTCACACCAGAGAAAGTATTCGGTATTTATTCATGTGTGTCCTATTTATTTCACTTAAGAGTATGGCCTCAATGTGCATCCACTTAGCTATAAATGTCTCTAATTTCTCGTTTTTTATGGCTGAGTAGTACTCCATTTCATTAAAAAAAACCACATTTTCTTTATCCAGTCTCCAGTTGATGGGCATTTGGGCTGTTTCCAAGTTTTAGCTATTACAAACTGCGCTGCTATGAACATGGGAGCACATATATCACTGTGGTATGATTCTTTTAATTCTTTGGGGAAGATCCCCAGCAGTGGAATAGCGGGGTCAAATGGGACTTCCAGTCCTAGTTCTCTGAGGTATCTCCATACTGATTTCCACAGTGGTTGCACCAGTCTACACTCCCACCAGCAGTGGAGCAGGGTTCCTCTTTCCCCACAGCCCCGCCAGCATTTGTTATTGGTTGATTTCATGATAGCGAGCTCAGTATTTATTAAATGAATATGGAATTCTCTCTCTCTGTCTCTATCTGTTTGTCTCTCTTTCTTCCTCTGTGGAGGCCTAAGGGAAGCTTTGGGGAGGGGTGGTGCATGCCTGAGATTGCAGCACTCTAGAAGCTGAGGCAGGAGGATTGAGAATTGGAGGCCAGCCTGGGCTAAGGAGCAAGGCCCTGTTTCAGAAATAAGAAGCAGCAGGGGTGGGGATATAGTTCAGTGGCATCATGCCTGCCTGGCAAGTGTGAGGCCCTGAATTCGATCCCTGGTCTCCCCCCAAATAAAGAAGTAGAAGCACCAGCAGCAGCCCTTGACTTCTGCCGAGGCCTTTCTAAGCACTAGGCCAATTGGGTTGTGGTGATGATGTATTGAGATACCATGAGTCTGGTACACAGCATCAGAGGGCATAAATACTTGTTTATATATAAGTTAGTGTTTTCTATTTACAGCATATTATTTATTCATATGACTCCCTTAAGTGGTCAGTGTCTTTTTCAGGGTTGTCATTGGCCTAGATTATAGCTTACATTGGTATTGATACAAGGTCATCTAAGATGGAAAAAATGAAGAGGTTGTTATATTTCAGGATGGGCAGGCTAACTTATTACCATATGTCATTTTTCCAGGTTAATATGTAGACTTCATGTTTATAATCAAAAACTCAATATTTTAATTTTTTTTTTTTTGATACCAGGGATTAAACTCAGGTCCTTACGCTTTTGAGGCAGGCAGCAGAACCACTGAGCTAAATCCCCGGCCCTTAAATTTTTTTTGACTTGATAAAATTTTTGTTTTTAAAAACCCCTTCAATATATTATTATTTTATTTGTTTTTGTTTTTCGGTACCGGGGATCGAACTCAGGACCTTGTGCTTGCAAGGCAGGTGGCAGCACCACCGAGCTAAATCCCTGGCCCCTTGACTTGATAAAATTGACAGTTTTCCTGAAGGGTGAACAAATGATGTAGGTAAATGTGATGTAGAAGCAGGTAAGGGATGGGAAGAAACTAAATTTTAAATACTGTATTTCAAAGATATGTAGAAGAATTTTCTATTTGGTTACGTCATCAATTGGGCACCCACCTGTAGGGCTGTGTGCTGTATTACCTGAGCAGCCCTGTGTGAGAATAGGAAAAGCTGGTGGTTTTATTGATTTGAGATTGCAGGATGAGGCTGTGGAGGGTCTGACTGAGAATCACTGAGGTGATGTACTACGTGGTGTGGGCTGATGCAGGAGAGTAGGTGAGGAGGGGGGTCAGTGAGGCTGGCGGTTGTACACGTTTGTATCTCTAGTTACACCTGAGGCTAAAGTGGAAAGATGGAAAGTTTGAGGCCCCCTGGGCAACTTAGCCAGGCTCTCAAAATTTAAAAGACCTAGGATTGTCATTCAGTAACAGAGTATATCTAGATTCGATCTCTTAGTATGAGCAAACAACAACAACAACCACAACAAAAAAACCAAAATGGGCTGGAGGATTAAGGCTGTGAGAGGGGTTGAGGGACTGAAGGCTCAGTGAAGTTGAAGCCACTGTGTGGCAGAAAGATAGGCAGTTGGTTTTTTAAGAGCATGGAGTTTCCAAGCTAGGAAAGTTCTGTTTGAAGTTGTGTGTGGTGATGGCAATAGGCACGTGGTATAAGATACTGAAATTAACAGGAAGAAAATTTATGAATAGATTTTTGGCTAAATGATTTAGATCAGAGGTCCTCAGTTTTATATTTATTTATTTATTTAGTGTCAGTGATCGAACTTAGGACCTTGAGGTTGGGAGTTTGTGAGGCAGCCGTGGTGACAATGAGCTAAACCCCCGGCCCTTTATATTATTATTTTCTGTTTATTACGGGAAACGGGTTTTTTTTCACTTCAAAAAATATTTTCAACAATAATGAATAGTAAGGAGATAATGTTTTCATGAGTGCCTTCATAACCAGACTAGATGTACCCTGAACTGTCTAAGATAAATCTCCCTTCCTGAAATTCTCTGGCTTCTTGGTTCCCCCTGGAAGAGGAGGAGCCTTGATTGCCTTTCTTCTTTTTAAAATCACAGAACCTGCCCACAACTTGTACAGATTCATTCCTCTTTTCGTTCTTTTAATTCCACTGTCCCCTCAGCCAGCCTCTTCTCGTTTATAAGCCTTTCTGTACTTCCAAGTCCCTCCTCCCAAGGATTCAGGTATGTTTTCCCCCCTTTCTGGTGAACTTAGAGCCTTATTTTCGTTAGTAATTTAAAGCTCCTCTTCCCCTCAAGACATTGTGCCTTACAGGTTACTCTTGGAAATTACCAGTTTACCTTCAGTGTTGGACCTTCATTTTAATTAAATATAGCATAGTTTCGCAGGGTATTTTTGTTGTTGCTGTTGTTAAGTTGATCAGTGATATAGATCCTTTCTCAGAATGTTCTTAAGCTATAAATTAAAGATACACAAAATGGGTGCAGGCGACTTATATTTAAATGTCAGTGTGAACTACAAAATAACCTCATTTGTGACACAATAATATGTACTTCAGTAGATGGGATTAGTCAGATTTAGATTTTCATTCGTATAACAATAGTCAATTTACAAGGAGGAATGGTTTGTTTTGGCTTAAAGTTTTGAATGTTTTACTGCATGACAGATGGGATCTGTGGCAAGACAGTGTATCTGTATTTATGGGTGTGTGTGCCAGAGCAAAGCTGCTCACCAAGTAGCAAGGGAGCATAAGGAAAAGAAGGGGATCTGGGCCCCACAGTCCTCTTTGAAGTCATGACCCCCAGTGACCTAACAACCTCCCCATAGGCCTTATCCACTCACCTCTCTGGGGAACCACTCTTTACCACATGGGCCTCTGGGACAGGTGGAGGGCAAGACTGTAGCAGTGAGCCATCACCGTGAAGAGTTGGGGTGGGCCTTCCATTGCCATAATTTCTATAGTAGGGATGTAGTTTGAGATCCTTGTAACAGCTAGCAGTAACATAATCTGAAGATGATAATCTAATTTCTGTTAATGACTCAGTTACATACTTGGAGTTGTGTTATTGGTATCCACATTTAGTTGAAAAAGTAATTTTCTATTCACATCTGATTTAAAGGGACTCACTGAATCCTTGGGTTAAAATGTTTGACA